ATTATAAAATTATTCTATCCTCAAAATTTCAAGTCGAAAATTCTTATAGGTTCGGCTCTTGATTATGAATCAGGGGAACACTTTCGTTTATTTATATATATAAAGATATATAATTTCATAATATTTTATTTATATATATATATTTATATATTAACATTTCATTAATGCATAAATATGCAATTAGAACTAAGAAAAAAAAGGAAAACTTTTTGATTTTTGAGCCAAATTCATAAAAGAGTCGTTGCCTACTTAAAAAATCAAATACCAGTCTGTAACAACATAAAGTTTAAGAACGTCTGTTATATACCTACTATAAATATAAAATGATGTAAATAGTGTGTTACATGCTTACAATAATGTACGGAATTATAGATAACATTGATAAATTATATTATAAATGATTATTTATGTTAATATTGTTGAAAAGTTTGCAAAACTTAAACCAATGAAATAATCCATTATTAATATAAGAAAGTTTGATACATAGTATTATCAAATGTTATTGCCCTATGGCAGCGGTTCTCAAACTTTTTTTTTCGCGTACCACATGTGTATATTATCAGTCACGTACCATTAATTATTAAAAATAGAATCATACAAACTTCACATAGTTAAATATATTTATTTTAAATAAAAAGGCAGTAAAATACTAAAATAAAATTATTATTTATATATTACTACAAATTTATTAGTGTTTTTAATTAATATATGAGTTAAATATTGAATTTTTAATATCAGTTCTACCACCATGCGGCCTTTCGCGTACCACCATGTAGTCTTTTGCGTACCATTAGTGATACGCGTACCACAGTTTGAGAACCACTGCCCTATGGCATTATTGTTAATTATGACAGTACTGTATACATATAAATATAAAATACTGAATACTTGCCATATAATTATTTAATGTTTAAGTACATTCAGTGGATAGGATTCTAAAAATTACAAATAATGAATCATTTTAGCAATTTTTATAATACAAATATAGAAATTATAAAACTACAGTATATTTTAATTATTTATCTCGATAATTTACGTTATTTATTCAACATTACTATGGTTACTGCAGACGTCATTGGAAAATATGAATGTGTTATTAATATGTTTTATACAAAAAAAATATACGTTTTACGAAATTAAAAGTATATTTAATAAAAAAAAACTGTTACCACAGATATCAGAGCAGTGGTGTTAATCAAGGCTAAGAATAAACGAGTTAAAAATTAAAATGAAGTTAAAACGTTAAGTTTATTAACTCGTTACTTTTTTTACAAATTAACTTTTAATTTAATAAGTTACTTTTTTTTAAGATTAACGTGTTAATTTTATTTAAAAGTATCTAAATTAAGTTAATTTTAGTGCAAAAAATAATGCAAATTATTAAATGAGGTTTTTATTATATTTATAATTTACTATTTAATTTGAATTTCCTGTAAACGAAAATAATATGAAAAATAACTTAAATAGTCATTATATGGGCTATATTTTATCATTATATTTTTATAACATTGTTATTGTATAAACACTATAAACTCATGGAAATCCTAAGAATATTCTGTGAAAATAGTAAATACTATGAGAGCGAGTGTCGATGGGGAATTAATCACAAAACAACTGTGATATAATTTCCAATTTAATTTCATTATTAAAATTGTAAATTGATTTGAGTATGAGTTCAGGACTAAGATTTATTTTAGAAAAGAAAGTTTTTCGATAGCTAGTTAATACTTTTATGTATCATTTTAAATTTCCCCAGTAATTTTCTTGAGCGTGAAAAAACTAATATTACTTATATTACTTATATTATTTAAAACGTCGTATGCCACTCTCCAGAGTGAAGTTGTTGAACTTAAAGGTAAAGTTGCTAGACTGGAGAGTAGCAAGCCCACAGAGAATATTCAATATATTATTTCTTAAGTTCTGCAAGAAAATTTTGAGCATGAAAGATGTCTTCCCAATTTAATTATATATGGAGTTCCGGAGTCTTCCTCACCGGACACCTCTGTAAGGATTGAACATGACAAACATATCATTTCTAATTCCCTTGGTTCATTGGAGAATGCTGTTCCTGAGAAGTTTAAGTTAATTCGTCTTGGTAGAGCTCGCGCTGATTTCATACGCCCTGTAAAAATTATTTGTGAAAATAAAGATGCTGCTTTCAATTTATTCTCCGCTTACAATTCTGCAAAACGTTTGGGTAAACCTTTTCCTGAAGGTTTTCGGATGTCCAAGGATAGAACTTTATTGCAGCGCAAACTCTTACGCTCATGCTACGAGGACCTTGAAAGGAGAGTCAAAAGTGGTGAAACAGGCCTGCGTGTAATGTTTGTGAACGGGTTACCTACTGTCGGTTCAATACTTTCAAAAAACGGGGACGGTCGTTTCATCAATCAGGCCAGCCAGTCTTAGCTTCTACGCTTCACCATGATTAAATCATAGGATTTTATCAAAATTGCCGTGGACTTAGAACCAAACTAACTAATTTAATTTGTAATATATCTGCTTTTAATCATTTATTTATTGTATTAACGGAAACCTGGTTAAATAATAATTTTAGTAATAATGAACTCGGTTTATATAACTATAATATTTTTAGATGTGATAGATGTACTAATACCAGTGTATTTTCTCGGGGAGGAGGGGTCCTCATTGGCATTCATAAAGACCTTTCAGCTACTTTTATATCTGTCCCTGATCTTAATGTTGAACATGTTTTTGTTCGTTTTACTGTTGGTCTATCTAATTTTGTTTTAGGTGGTGTCTATTTTCCCCCCAACTCTTCTCCTATCCTTTATGAGTCACATATTAACTCAATTGAACACTTAAGAAAGATCTACCCTTCCCATGCATTTATTTTATGTGGTGACTTCAATTTGCCGGAGTTATCTTGGGACAATAACGATAATGGCCTAATTTATTCGTCAATGTCACCCTCCCGGGGTGCTTGCATTCCTGAAACATTCGCTACGTGCGGTTTTTTTCAAAAAAACAATATAGTTAATAATGTTAATACTATACTAGACCTCGTGTTTTCTAGCAGTAAACTAATATCCGTTGAACAATCGTATGAACCGGTTGTGCCGATTGACCCATATCATCCAACGTTGAATATTTCTCTACCAATTAATATGTCCTCTTCCCATTGTAATCGTAGTCACTCATTCTATAATTTTCGTAAAGCTAACATAGAGGATGTCAGTTTGTTCTTATCGTCTTTTGACTGGTGCTCAACATTCGAATTATATAATGTTGACGCAGCGTTTAATACTTTTTATGATGCCTTACATAAATCGGTTCTTGACTTTGTTCCACTGTGTAAATTTATTGATTCAAAATTCCCGCCTTGGTTTGATAAGGGACTAAAAAATATTTTGTTTTTAAAGAAAAAGGCGCACATTAAGTTCAAGACATCCTCCAATGCACACGATTATAGGGAATTTTCACTGCTTCGAGCTCAGTTTAAATACGAATCTAAAAAATGTCTACCTAGATATGTTGAACGTATTGAATCGTCATTAATCAGCAACCCAACTGATTACTGGAAGTTCGTTAAAAACAAAAGGTCTTCTAGTGCAATTCCTAAGGTGGTTTCTTATAGGGATTCTACTTCTACTAATGAGCAGGAAGCAGCTAATTTGTTTTCAACGTACTTCTCTTCTGTGTTCTCCGAAGCTCATCTTAACCTTGATACTTCCTCGTTAGGAATCAGCTCCTTTGACTTACCTAATAATGTTAACTTTACTGTTGAAAATGTTTATGAAGAGTTAAATGACTTGCATGGCAAATGGTCCGTCGGACCCGATGGATTATCCGGTGAATACTTATATCAATTAAGAAATGTCATAGCTTTCCTTCTCTGGACTCTTTTTAAACGTTCACTTGAAGAAGGAATTTTCCCTTCTATGTTGAAGTTTAGTGCTGTCACCCCTGTACACAAGTCTGATGAACTCACTAATGTTTCCAACTATCGTCCTATTTCAATTCAGTCGTATATTTCCAAAATTTTTGAATCGCTGGTCTTACATAGTATTCAACCATCGATCAATAGAATTCTTATGGAGGAACAGCACGGATTTCGTCCTGGTCGTTCCACCATTACCTGTAATTTAGTTTTTCACAACTATGTATACCATTCTTTTAATCTGAAATCACAGGTGGATGTCATATACACTGATTTCAATAAGGCATTTGACTCAGTTAATCACAAAGCTCTAGTTCAGGACCTCAACGTATCTGGAATCGGTGAACCTCTCCTGTCCTGGTTCTCGTCTTACCTCTCTCACCGATACCAATGGGTTAATTTGTTTGGAGTAAAATCTAATATCTATCTTGCTACGTCTGGTGTTCCTCAAGGAGGACACTTATCTCCGCTCCTGTTCTCTCTTTTCATTAATAGTATATCAAGTGTTCTTTCCAACAGCCGTATTTTAAGCTTTGCAGATGACATCAAACTTTTCGCTTGTATATCGTCCATCGATGATTGTATTTTGTTACAGCGTGATTTTGATCGGTTCACTGAGTGGTTTAATAAGTTAGGTTTATCACTTAATGTTTCTAAATGTAAGACCATGACTTACGCCAGGATTCAGACCCCTGTCACGTACGCATATCACCTCGGACCTACTGCTATCTCAAATTCTAATGGCTGTGTATCTGATCTTGGTTTTATTCTTTGTAGCGATCTTGATCCGAGACCTCACATTGAGCATATTTGTTGCAAAGCATTTAAAACACTGGGGTTTATTTTAAAATTATGTATTGACTTTAGGTTATGCTCATCCTTTAAGATACTGTATTGTGCACTTGTTCGCCCTATTGTTGAGTATGGTGCTGTAATTTGGGATCCTCATGACATCAATGATTCACTAAGGCTTGAAAGGGTACAACACAAATTTATGAGGTATGCCGGTTTTAGATTGAATATCCCATTTGAACCACATAATTATGGACCAGTTTCGTCTCAACTTGGGCTGGTCTCGCTGGCTGAGCGTAGACGTATCGCGGGCATTAAGTTCCTGAGTAAATTGTTGCAAGGTAATATTGACTCTCCTGATCTGCTTTCCTTAATTAGTTTTAGAGTACCTCAACGTCTCTCCCGATCTATTGCTCCTTTCTATGTACCATTCGCCTCAACAAATTACTTAAAAAATGAGCCAATTGCACGAATGATGAATAATGCCAACGCTGACCCCTCTTGTCTTCTGTATTTGTAAATAATTACTGATTACTGTTAACTATTAATTTTAATATTCTTTATTTTGTATCATATAATTTCATAGTAAGTTGTACATATTTTCCAAGGGATTATCCCGTATATTAATAAATAAATAAATAAATAAATAAAATAATATTAACTAATATAACTAATATTATTACTATTATTATTATAAAACTAATATTATGTTTGCAATTTTTTATTTTTCCAAATTAGAAAATTTTAACTTTAAACTAAATTTTTTATTTTTCCAAATTAGAAAATTTTAACTTTAAACTAAATTAAGTTAATTTTTTTTCAAAGTTAACTTTTAACTTAACGAGTAAATCATAATTCATTTTAATTAAATTTCATTTTTAAGCCGAACACTTACTTTCTGATAATGAAATAATAACATTAATTCATGGAATGTTCAATAATATTGTTAACTATTATCGGAATCAAAAATAAATAAAATTGATTTTTAATTGTTCTGGGATATCTTATCGGTTGGTTTTTATAATTTTTTTTTCTAATACATTCAAAACTATTATTTTAATAATTAACGTATAAAATAATGCGCTACATCATAGAAATTACTCTTTAAAAATAATTGTGTTACAATTGCGTTATTTTAAGTAAAATGTAATGAAATTACTGCTGTGTTACTGAAAAAGTAATTGCGTTACAGTAATTCGTTATTTGTGTTACGTTACTACCCAACACTAGCTGTATGTAATTTAATGATTTAATAAACAAGTATAATCGGTGTGATGGGGCGTTCTATGTAATAATATAATGTTAACGCCCTATGCACTTTTCGTGGGATCTCCACTATCTGTACATACTAACTACAAGTAACCATGGGTGGAGGAGGATCTTGAACAATATTATCAGGGCTGTCACCGTAGGGAGAAAGGGGGTGTCGGAACCATTTTGCTCCAGAGCCCAGTCTAAGGAAGTTTAAAGCGGGTACTCATCAAGTCTAGATTTATTTAATATACTCAGCGTTACCCTTTAGAAATTATTGATATTAATGTATTATTTCTAAACTATTTTTTCTTTATGAAATATTAATAAATTTAGTTAAATAAAATTAACTTTAATTTATATATTTATATTAAGCGCGCTTTCACAGGCTAAATTTTCAGTTATTCTAATTTATTAGATTTTTCTCTTATCGTATTTATTTCATGCACCCATATTCATATCTTCTTTTTAATTTTAAGGATAAGTAATAAAAGTAGTTCTTCGTATGGTACTGGCGAATTAGTTGCAGCAAGAAGGATTTATTTGTTTTTATAACCAAAATCTTTACGTAATATTCGGTACAGAAAATTTCCCGTAAAAAAAAAAAAACTAGGAATATTGAAAGTGGTCATTTGATTATTTAAAATTTTTTTTTGTTATTTTGAATATTTCAAATATTAGTGTTTTATAACATTTTATTACAGTACTATCAATAAAAAAAAGTCCGTGCTAGGTATACAGATAGAGTAAGAAAATATCAAATAAAACAAGCCGCAAAAAAGTACAAACTATAGAACAAAAATATCAAGAGAACCATATCGAAACGAACAGAGCTACATCAGCTACCTCTCAAAAAAATCACCTAAAAGTGCACAGAATCGCAGCAGCATCGTATCAAATCAATCACACGAAAATTATATTAAATTATCGCAAATTATACGAGCGTAATAATCCAGGAATCCGGACAGATAATCGAATGCGTGTTAAATTTTAAGTCGGTACTTAATATATTATACAGTGACAGTAATAAAAAATTAAATACAGATTATAACATAAAAATAAATACCAGTAGACAACGGGACGTAGGAACTGTACGCAGACGCGTAAAATAGAGAGGTGTTTGGGGTTCAACTCCTTGCCTCGAAATTTACGAAAATATGTAAATTATAAGAGTATAAAAATATACAATCTAAGATCCCACAAAATATTTTTTTGATGGTATAGGTACTAGGTTAAAGCGAACTAAACGAAAATAAAATTTTCTTTAGACCACTCCTCAATGCATCGTGTTCTGATCGTCGTGATAACCACGTGATTGCTGCCTGCCGCGTTCTGTGCACCCGAGCCTTTAGGTTTGGTGATTGCCACGAATTAAAATGTATATATAAAATGTATATGAGGTGTATGTAAATTTTTTGTGATTAATGTGCGCGAGAGCGCCTATGGCCGGAGCATCGTTACCTTGTCCGTTGACGATTATTCGTAATAGGGGGAGGAGAAACGGCGTGACGGATTGACGACGATCACGACCATGCGTGCACGATGTATAGCACTTCCTTCAACTGTAACGATGCGACCACGGTCTCCTACACATCCCCACTTCCAGCACGGAACGCTTTTCGTGAGCGCTTCGCAATCGGGATCCACACCGCCGCACCGCGGTGCCCTTGGGCCTTATCACGGCGCCTCGCTATAGATAATAGCCCGTCCGTTCGGTTCGTGTTTCTTTTCCTCCTCTCGGAGCGAATTCGTTTAATTTTTATTATTAATTTCCATTCCGCGCGTACAGTGCGGCAATTCATCATTTCATCATATCGTTTTCTAACCGGCGGTTGGAGGGGGCGGTTTTGATGTGTGCAATTCATTACCATTGTACAACACGTAGTACGCGGTCCGGCAGTCGTTGGCGGTTAATCGTGTCGTACGGAACGCAACAACGTAACAAGCACTGAAGTTCGCGTCAAATGCCCGATAACTCTTGATTGTGCCGTAAAACTCGCACGAACCACCGCCATCATGAGCGATTCAGTTCAGATTCCGTCTTTGGTCAAGTTCTTCAACGGCGGACTGGCTGCGTAAGTACCTACTCACCTCCACACAACTTTCGACGACCTCGAACCACAAGTTGAGATTATCACTCGTGTTGAACGACGTGGTGGGCTTTATATTTGCACTGATCCCGTGTCCTTTTTTTAATTTATTATGAACTTACTTTTCTTCTTATGAAGAAGTCGAATTCTAATTTTTTTCCCCAATTAGATTTCTCCAAATCATTAAAATTGTTTGATTTCAAATGATTGAACTACGTTTCATTTTGAGTGACCTGTTCCTTCGAATTATGATTTCGATAGTGATACTTAATGTCTTGCAGGACTGCGGCCACAGTCGTTGTACATCCTTTGGATGTACTAAAAAACCGTATGCAGATGGCTGGACGCGATGTTACTGCCACTGAAAAACAAAAGTCCATGGGTGGTATTGTACGATCTATGCTCAAGGAAAAAGGGGTGACAGCCTTTTATCCTGGACTCTCCGCTGGCATCCTCAGACAAGCTACATATTCGACAACACGATTGGGGATGTACAATTCATTATTTACAATCATGTCTGGGTGAGAAGTCATGCCAGATATTTTGAACAAATAAATAATGTGAAGATCTCATAAAAAATATTTTTTTTTCCAGGGAAGACAACAAACCTCCTAGTTTGGTGGTTAAATTGGGCTTGGCTATGGTATCAGGAATTACAGGTGCTGCTGTTGGTACTCCAGCTGAAGTAGCTCTTATACGAATGACATCTGATGCACAATTACCTTTATCTGAAAGACGTGGTTATACTAGTGTTATTAACGCATTGGCTAGAATTGCAAAGGAAGAAGGTATTGCTACATGGTGGAGAGGATGCATTGCTACTATGGGAAGGGCAGCTGTAGTTAATATGGCTCAGCTTGCTTCATATTCTCAAGCTAAAGAATTATATCTAAAGAGCGGTGAGTTATTAGAAGTTTTATAACCAGAGTCCAAATTATCTTATTTTTCATGTAATTTCTGTTTTATTAACTATATTATAATTCATTAGAGTTATTACGTATACTTTGCAATAAATTCATAATTTAACATTATTTATTTTATGTTAAATATTAATTCTAAATTTTTAATTATTGATTACTTATTTTTCTCATGTTTAAATATCATATATATGGTAATTATATAAACACTTGAAACATAATCTGAGCCTTAATTTAAAACTTAGTAAATAACACTTTTTATTATTTTTAAATTTGTACTTATTTTTGTATTTTTATGGTTATAATAAAAAAAATTAAAAAAAAACTTGTTTTTAAATATATTATACAAGAAATCAGTTATATTTATAAATGTTTTAAACCAAATTGAATTATGTAATTTTATTCACATTATTTAGTATTTGCTCTAGTTTTAACATCTTGAGCAATGTATTTAACAATTAGCTTAAAATTAGAATTCTTAGGCAATTAATCAAGTTGAATTTTGAAAGCTCTTATTATAATTAGTACAAAATTAATCTTAGAATGTTTAAATATAATATTAATTTAACTAAACAGGCTCTTTTTATAAATGTATTTAGGTGTTAAATATAAAACTTCCATTCATTATTATGAAAAATAAAAATAATGTTTACATTGATTATAGAATAATCAATTATATATTATAATTAATTTTTATTTTGCCAGTTATACATATGCTTACTAAATAATTTAAGTGTTTATAATCAAAAATTTATTAATGTTTTAATTTAAAGAATAACAAAACTTAAATAATTTAAATAAATCATATTGATTTTTCTAAATCTAATAGATTTTTTAACTTATCTATATAACTATGATCATCTTTAGTTAATAATTTCTTTAGTCTAAATCATTATGGCTTTTACACAACAATGTTTATAATGTTTTATTAAGTTGTATATTTTGAAAAGTATGTAACATGAATTAATTGATTTTGTTTTGTATAGGATATTTTGAAGAAAACATAGTATTGCATTTTGCTTCATCAATGACTTCTGGTGCCATTACAACTGTTGCATCATTACCAGTAGATATAGCCAAAACTAGGTATGATAAATAAATTACAAGTAAAATAACAGAGTATGAAATATAAATGAATCTTTCTTATAATAATAATAATAATAATAATAATAATAATAATAATAATAATAATAATACTCTTTGAACTTTGTTACTATAGAATACAAAGCATGAAAATAATTGATGGAGTTCCAGAATATTCTGGTACAATAAATGCTATGGTAAAAGTAGCGAAGAATGAAGGTTTCTTTAATTTGTGGAAGGGAATAGTGCCATATTTTGCTAGAATTGGACCTCATACAGTTCTAACATTCATAGCGTTAGAAAAATTTAATGAGGCATATAAACTTGCAGTGTTTGAACGCCAGTCAAAAAAATAAATTACAATTTTGATAGTTATTAACTAAAAATAATTTATGTGCTAATATTTAAAATTATTATTGTTGTTTATTTTATTTTTTATATTTTATATAAAAAAATATAAAATATAAATATATTTTATATTTTATATTTTTTGTTTTATTTTTTTATTTTTTCTCTTAAAATTATTAATTGTTATTTTTTTTTTTTTTTTTGTTAAAGATTTCATTTAATGTTTACACAAATAAAAAGTTAAGTATATATATTTAAGACTGTAAAAGAATATAACAAACTTAGGAATGAGCAAATATGCAGTATTAATTGAATGTGATAAAACATTTTATAAATCTTAACTGGTAGAAGCAATCTTTTCTAAATGTCGAACTGCATCCTTTAACTTAAATACTAATTCTTGAAGTTGTTGTGGATTGCAGACAAAATCGATGTATTCTATTGTTCCATTATCTACAGTCTTTAACCGTACTTTGTAAAAGAATTCGGACACGTCATCAAAAACACTAGACTAAAAATATATCATATTGAAATAATAATAATAATTATAATTTGAATGCATCACTTGGTTAGTCATTATTGGTAAGTCATAATTATCATTATTAATAACTTAATTTATAGTCAACTGACAACAATTTGTTAATTTATTACAAAAATAGTATAACTATTTATTTAAGCTGCTTAATATGTAATGTGATAATAAATTTGAAATAGAGCAAGCAATAAAATAAATATTAACCAGTGTCAATTAATTTGTTAATAATACTAATATGATGCATTGTTGAATTAAATTAAACAAAAATTCATCTATTCAATAAATATATTAAGTACTCACTTGTACACAGTAATCTAGGCGACACTCAACATCGACAACACAAGCTAAAGAAGTAGTAGTGATCTTGCAGATTTGCATAAGATGTGAACTGATAGTTTCATAAGTTTTTATTATTTCTGGTATACGGACATTGTTGGCCAACACAAGTGTTTGGATATTCATATTCAATTCATTTCCATCCAAACAATATCTACTTGCGATTGTGTACAGAGCCACTAATGAAGCATATGCTTCTTTTACAATATCTTGTTTAGATGTAATAGTCGACTCTATAAAATAATATAAATTACAATTTAACTAATAACTATATATCAAAATAGGATAAATTAAAAATTATATAATTCACTTCAATAGTTATTGTATTTTTAATGCATTGTGTGACCACAGATATATGTTAAATAAGTCCAACGGTTAAAAACTTGGGGTTAATCAAACTGGGTCAACAACCTGCACTAGTTTATAATTTAACTTCATTTTTGCATGTCAAACAAACTATACTATAAAATGAAATACAGGTTGAATATAGTCTGAACTCTTTCCTTACATTTACGGTAGACATTTATCATAACTACGATTTTTATAAATATGAAAAATTATTTTTCATTATTTACTTTAATAAATCCTATGTTTTTGTATTATATTGGTAACAAAAAGTTTTAGTTTTATAAAGAAAGATAATATATTAAATAAGATAATGAAGAGTATCTTACTTTTAAATAATCCCATTATTTATACTTGAAAATGTATTAAAATATTTTTTGGAAAGCAATTTTGATAAAATAATTGTACATCTCCACACTTTTAAATTATTTAATTTAACTGTTATGACTACAATTTGATTCAATTTGTGTTTCAATACAATTAAACTAGGTAACCCTATGTGTATACATGCATAGTTCTTATGGACAAAGATGGTAAATACTAAATAATAATAATAACCCCTTAGGTTTTGTCTTGGTTTATTGGCCATATTCATATTTATAAAAAAAAAAAGACAACATAATAATAATATAACCTTCCTCTTGTACTCCCTGAATGACTACTGTGTTCAACAAAATATTTTGCCTTGAAAATAAAATAGACCTAAGTATAAATAATCCTTAATTGGTAAACTACATTAATCATTACAAAACTAGAGTACATAACTTAATTTGAATATTTGAAATTGTATTATATGATATAAATAAAATATTGCAATTATATATTACAAAGTTAATTACAAAGTATTTTAATTACAAAGTTAAAGTTACCTATTTAAATGTATAACAAGTGATTTCCTTGTTTCATCATTTTTGTTAAAACTTAATACAAAGTTCCTCAACTCTTAAGTAATTCACAATCTAATTTTATTAATATTGGTTTATTGAGTTTAGTAGGAATTGAATTGGTTAGATCTTAATTATTTGTAATAAATACTTTCTTGATAGGTATTCAACTATTTAAGAAGTATTTCTATTTATTATTAAAACCTACATTTAAAATAAAATGTGCTAAAATTAATAAATAGATTGATGTCTGTACTATAAATAAATGATTTTCTGGTTAAGATTAATAATTGTATAATTTTAACTTAAAACTGATTAGGTATTTAATAAATCTAATTACATCAAATTAAAAAAACAAGTTAAAACCAGATAATATTTTTCATATATATTTTAAAATCAAATATTTATTAGTTTAATATTACCAAAACGTTATAAAGAAAATTCCATTCAAGATAATTGTTTGTACTATTCGATGGTATATATTTAATAGTTTTAGTTTTTATCCTATTAAGAAATGGTTTCTACAATAAATATTATGGCTGTTTACATAATTTTAAATAATTTAAAAATAAAAAAATCTTTATTGTTAATGGATGAACATGGAACACAATATTAGCATTAAAATAGATATTTAGTTCTCACCATCATCTGTTAATTGGTCCGTAGTATCACTGTTTAACAGAGTTCCCAATCTCTTCTCAGCTTTTTTAAGCAACGTCTGGAAACATTTGTCGTTAATCAGAGCTGGATTACACAATCGTTTCAGTCCCAATTCAAGTTCTGTTGATATATTCATAGTGACATTTGAAAAAAAAAATTTGGTATCGTTAACTGACAAATATAGGCACTAAATTATAATAACAAATTCAATAAAACGCACTACACTTGAAACCACATGCACAAAAATACTGTATATTGAGTAACTATATATTACATTATGTAATCAAAAATTTAGTTATCACTAAATACCGATGCACCATGCCTTTCGTTATCTATGTAAACCATATTACTCTAGGATGTGAACCGTAGACCTTATACTCAGTATTAAGTTTATGATGTGAACCACGGTATAAGATATACATAAGTTTAGATATATATATATATATATATACATATATATATATATAAGTATATCTTAAACCGAGATGTGAACACGAGCCCTTCCCCGCAGTAATGCATTAAGCTGGCTTATCATAAAAAAACGTTATCAAAACTTCAAATTGTAAAATGTAAATGTAAATGTAAATTTAGGAGCTAGAAGATCTTTTTTGATTTAAAAGGTATTTATTTATATACTATTAGGTATATTATAATGTATAATATGAATATATATGAATATAAATTAATATAATATAATGTAATATTATAATTAATATAATATTATGTCCTAATGTATATGATAGATAGGTAGGTAGGCACGTAGCTAAAGGAGGGCTAGGATGTTCCTGGCCCAGCCTAATATGTGTCCGGCCCACCTAAAGTATTGAGAGGGGCTCATTATTATATGATTGCTTTTAATTTTTACCAAATTCTTAATATTGCCTAAATATGACGCAAATGAAACCAAATACATCGGGTTTTAATTATAATCTAAGTAATGTAACTTGTAACTAAATTTAAACGATCGATTAGGTAATAATTGCTATTTATAGCTAAATACCGGTATTATACTACAATGTCAAGTTGTTCTTATCATATCTAGACAGTGACTACTGTATACTTGTATGTCTATTTTTAAAATACTTTGAGCGAGGGTATTGTCATTATATTGATTCATATAGAAATATAGAATTATATTATGGTCTCCGATTGGGCACTTTCACATTCAGCGCACGCCACACATATGCTAACGTCACCTGCGTTAATATTTGTACAATTTATAGTATTTATACATTTTATCTTATATATTTAATATTTAAATTAATTTTAAAATGGCACCTCTCAGTGGATGTGCCAAAAGAAAACTAAAATTACCAAGAGAAGAGTAAAATGATAAAATATGGTATTATTAGGTTATATACTATATTACAAGTTAAGACCTTTAATTCCATTCTTGTAAAAAAATAACTACATTTTTCTAGTCATTAATATGTAATAAAGTAATTATTTTTAATAACTCCAGTCTCCATTACAACTATTCATTTGCTCTACTACTTGCCTACCATATACATTAGGACATAATATAATTTATATTCATCAAATGTAAAGAATTTATAAAACTATGATAACGTTCTTTTATAATAAGGCAGCCAAATGCCTTACTGCAGGAAGCGCTTATATGTGAACACAGGTTGCTTGTTATCAACTGAAAATGTTAATGATTACCATCGAGATAAAGAATATACTGGAGCACGCACTCGTAATACCTGCTTTCATAAATAAAACGAATTGTCGGGCGACGTCAATTTAAACGCTATCCCCACCACCGTACGGCAAGAAACATATTAGTGCGTATGCCGTACACAGGAAATGTATAAATATTTCACTTTTTTATTGTTTTAAAGACGATTTTTTTGTACTTAGTAGAAATATAAATAACAATAAAATAAATCATATTTTTATATTTATTTTTTAAGATCAAGTAAAAAACTACAAAGTACATGACAAGGTATTGAAATAAACACCTTCAGAGTAATTGAAGTTTGAACAATTTCCAGATTCAACAGTTATATTGTTTGTGAATAATAACTGCCTAAGAGTATTTTTGAATTGCACTGAATTTGGATTGTTGTTTGAGCCACTTCTTGCTCTTATACAACTAAAAAAAAAGTTCTGAATGATCTTGGGACATTTTATAAGTCAGTACAAATTTTAATGGGCTTTGACATTTATTTAGTGATTTATATACTACATTTAAGGTACTTTCCATAGTAATAATAAAACCAAGTACAAACATTTTTCTACCACCTAAAATAATTGGAACATCTTGAATTTTTAAACTTCTAAAATAACTAAACTTTTCGTCGAATATAGCTTTAATTAGTTTCCAGAATTGATCGGATTTTTAAATCCTTTAGAAAAAGGAATTCGGGAGTTTAATACATCAAATAAATGATCAACCAGTCTAATGAAATAAACAATTGATTGGCTATTTTGAATATGGTGATAAAACTTTAAAAATCATTTTCAAATTCTATCTGGCAAACGTTTTCTTAGAAGCTCCCTAGGCATTACACAACATATGCAAATAGGTGTGGGGGTGATTGGGAACTTTATGATCATTTAAAGAAAAAACTTTTGTCAATAGCTGAAATACAACGGCCTCATGTGAACTTTTAATTTACAGCGTATAATTTTGTACTTATATTGATTTTAATTATGAAATGAATAAGATAATTTATAATTTTAATATTTTGTAAAATGGTCTCACCTATTAGCCCCAACATCTAAATAGACACCCAGACATTTTAGATTTCTTCATCTCAATATTACCCAGTTATATTAATTTCTCTGTCACCAACTTAAACGATGTTAGCTCTGATCATACTCCTGTCCTGCTCCAACTAAACGTAGCTCTAGATCTAAACCCTATGCATCCTTCTTTATCACAAGGTCCAATAAAATGGAATGAGTTCACTGAAATCATGCAAAATACCACCAATTTAAAAATTTCTCTTAAATCAAAAACTGACATAGAAAACACTACCCAAGTCGTCACGACCTCGATACAAACAGCTATATACAAATCATCACACCCATATACTTCAAGGAGTATGAATCAAACAAATAATCAAACCTTGCCTATCCATATAAGAACTTTAATTTCTAATAAGCATCGTGTTCGTTCTAGATGGAAAAAGTATCGATACCCATCTGACAAACAAATATTTAATCACTTGACAAACACCATCAAAAAAATAAATATCAAAACATAAAACAGTGTTTTTTGAAAATAAATATCAATCCCTAAACACAAATGACGGCTCACTATTGAAAACAACAAAAAACTTACTTAATATAAAACAGAAAATTCCGCCGATAACTGGCCCTAACAGATCCATGGCTATTTCTGATAAAGAAAAAGCAAACCTTTTTGGCGAACATTTCTCTAACATTTTCAAACCTCATCCTGATATCCCAGCACTGAACACCTTGAAATAATCAACTCATTTATAAACAGTCTTCTTCCAATGTCACTTCCAGCAAAACATACCTCACCAAGTGAAATCAAATTTCTAATAAGTAAATTAAAAGAAAAAAAAGCATCCGGTTATGATCTTATTACCAACAAAATTCTAAATAATCTACCGAAAAAGACAGTCATCCTTATAACTTACATATTTAATTCCATGTTACGGATTTCTTACATTCCATCGATATGGAAATTATCAACAATAATTGTTATTACTAAGTCCAACAAGCCCAAGAATGAATTCACGTCTTATAGACCTATAAGCTTACTGCCAACTCTTGCCAAATTATTTGAAAAAATCATAAGATTAAGAATAAGACCAATACTCCAAACCTTCAACACAATTCCACATTCCCAATTTGGCTTCAGAACGAATCACTCCACTGTACACCAAATTCACAAACTAACTGATCAAATTTCATCTTCATATGAAAAAAAGCAATATTGCCCGGGAATGTTTTTAGATGTAGCCCAGGCGTTCGACAGGGTATGGCACAAGGGTCTACTTTTTAAACTAAAAATGTTCTTACCTGCCCCTTACTTTTTGATAATATGTCCATATTTAGAAAACCGTACTACACAGTCCGGTATGGTAACTCTGTCTTGTCATTCTACCCAATTAAAGCAGGAGTTCCCCAAGGTAGTAACCTTTCTCCCGATTTATTTAATGTTTACACAGCTGATATTCCGAAAACCCCAAGTACTGTTATGGCCACCTATACTGACGACACTGCAATTCTCTCATCTGGTAATGATCCTATAGAAACTGTACATTTCTTACAAACACATTTAGACTTAATAGACAAATGGTCATCTAACTGTAAAATCAAGATTAATCCTGACAAATCAATTTATGTCCCATTTACACTAAAAAAGTCCATACCCCTTCCGCTCTATTTTCAAGGAACACAAATCCTAATATCCTCAGAAGTAAAATACCTCGGCGTCTTAATTGACAAACGATTGACCTTGGGTCCTCATATCAAGTCAAAAGAAAAATTCTCAATAGTCGACTTCACTTACTTCACCCAATTCTGAAATCAAAATTACCCTTCAACACAAAAATAATCATCTACAAATCCTTATTACGGCCTATCTGGGCTTATGCTATCCAAATCTGGGGATGTGCTAAATCATCTCAAATACGTACCCTCCAAGCCTTCTAATCTATCACTCTCCGAACTATCTCTTCCGCACTTTGGTACGTATCAAATTCCATACTTCAAAAAGACTTCAAAATAGAAACAGTAAATCAATTAGCCACAAAACATTTAAAAAAATTTCATTCTAAATTACAATGTCACTTTAACCCTTTAATCGTTGAACTTGCTTCCAACTCACTTCCTAGTAATCCCCCATGCCGTCTAATGAGAAATTGGTGTCGTGATTTATTAAATGATTGATGGTTCATACCATTTAATTTTAATTTAATTTATATTAAGTTAATAATTAATAAATAAATAAAATAACGTTAGGTTCTATCACTCCTCATGTGTTCAGGTTGTAAAAAAATTTTATGTATGTGTTCAAATTTGCTTATTATGCCTTGTAGTATGGATTGTAAATATTCTTAAAAAAAAAAAATATTTTGTTATTTATATATATAAAAAATAGAATTACCCAACAAGAAGTAAACTAATCAAAATAAGAAATGCTTTAATGATATCCTTGGAGTTAGACAAAACGATTAATTTTATTACTATACAGAAAAAAAAAGTAAATAATTAACACAAAGAAAATAATTGTAATAATCTACGAGTTATGAGTGAATAAAAATTGGTAAAAAAAAACAATTAAATATTGATTCCACTAAACAATG